TATTGAATATGAAAATTTTATGAATTTTGTATCAATGCTTATTTGAGAAGCTATACAATTTTTAAAATTAATGTGAGACCGATAGCGTTATAAATTTTGAAATTGTGTTTTTCCATGCTTTAATTTGCTACAATCCGTGGACAGTTTTTTTGGAAAGTAATTTAAGATAGTGGATTTTGTCTGCCTATACGTAGCCTAAGTGATGTTTATTTTATTGGATTAGCAAATCTGTCTAACAAATTCGGAAAAATTCAGTTCTTTTTATCAAAATAAAATTCAATAAACATAAACTGAATACAATACTGTTAGCCCATTAGTATTTATCATCATCATCATCATAAGGTCAAGACAAACATACGATAAAACATACGATACATTAGTGTTATTTAATAGAATTTTGAGAAATTTAATTACACATTACAATCAACATTCTAACTTTAATTAATTAATTTTCAAGTTGAAAAAAGTCAGATCTTGTATTGTTTTCTGTTAAATTGCGTAATTTTCAGTAATATACTATGTTTCAAATATTTTTTTGTAATGTACAGTTAATATGACTTTAATTAAATAAGACGTGTAAATATGATTCAGAAAAAATATGGCATAACAAACCATAGAATATAATTTAAACTTTCGATGCTACAGCAATTGTAACAATAAAACATTTTTCACAAAAAATCTACTTTATTATAAGGTGCTACGGACTCCCCGTCATTCATATACACTCTATATCAGTTCATCAATTTTGTTGAATAAGAATTAAAGTTGAATGAAGTATTATTATCAAAATAGGTACTGGTTGCAACTACGTCTGACCAGATCCATTTACGAATGCCCTTTTAAAAAGAACTGAAGTAGGTCAGAAACAATACAAAATTCGATCTGTAAATTATGATCAATTACAAAATTCGATATTTGGGCAGGTTGCAAGGCCGTTCACGGCCCCTTGTACGTATTAATCTCGACAAAAGCGCTTCCAGCGATAGCTCGGCTGATATTTTGTAATAACTTCTGTTGCTTAATAAATAAAGGCGCAAACATGCGTAAACGAGTTGTACAGATTGCATATGTGACTGTGTTTGCTTTCGTACATTCTTATATTTTCTTTTTAAGGCGAACGAAACGAATTCCGATCGGACTTAAATCTCTATATTTTAAAAGAAGAGACGACATGAACTCAAATCGATATTTGCGTTGGGTATTTAATTATGATTATAATAAGTAGACTTGAAGTCTATAAAATGATTGTAAGTACATATATTACACATATTAGAAGCAGCAGCAGGAGTTAAGGGGGTTAGACGTACGCCTAGATTAGATTACTGTTCACAAATAGGTAAGGATGTGTGATGTTCTAGTTTAATGGAAATACGATGATTAGTTCAGGATAGGAACCACTTTTAGGACTGACGACTAGGGTTGCCACCCGTACTTTATTATAAAGTATTGTATTCTATTTAGACTGTGCGTACGTTATATTTTACAAAACATATAAAGTACGCAAAAATACTTTATTTAAGGCCTTAAGTAAACATCGTAATTTTGTAAGCGATTTTTCGAAATTCAGAGTATTTTTAGATTAATAATATTGCACAGAAAAATGGCAAGCCATATTTACCGAACAACCTGATTTGTTCAAAGTAGTGTAACTTTTGCTGTCCGTTCTGGCCACTTCAGCATTTATAGAAAGAGTATTCTCTGTTTTGAACGCAAAGTGACGGGACGACAGGAATAAAGCTTCATTAAAACTAATTAAAAATGGACTTTTAGTTTATTTAAATCTTTGTTTGCTATGTTTAGAGGCTACTAATATATTTAAGAGCGATAGCAATTTGTTATTGGCTGCTAGGTGTAACAAAAAATATGTTTAAAAACGAAAAACAAAATACTTTATTTTTATGCCGAGTACTTTTTTTTTGAACCATTTAGTCGAGAAATACTTTATGTAAAGCCTGAAAAGGTGGCAACCCTANTATATAAATTGGTGAAGGCCTTCGCGGCCAAGTTTCGGGTCTAAAGGCCGTCGTCGGTTGGAGTTTCTTCCGAACGTTTCACTAGCAGGAGTGCATGGTAAGCTTCACAGATCCTTCCATCCCAATGCTGAAAGAACTCCAACAAGGAGAAAACTTACAATTTTCGATTGTAAATGACTGAATTATCGGCAGAAAAAATAGTAGAATTTAGTAGGTAATTTGTAATAATCTCAATTTTGACACGTTTTCAAGTTTCTTAACTATTACAATTAAATTTGTAATACCAACTAAAATACCTAGTAAATTTATTTCTGCTGGGATTTTATTTTTACAAATTCAAGTCCAAATTGTAATTTTTATTATTTTCGCTTACGAAGCAACGGGCTAGTGGGATAAATTGTAAATATCGCTTTAATATTTAGGTAAATTTTCATTTTTCATTTTCTACGTGTACAAATTCGTGGTAAATCGTTACAGATGACGATTACCGCGCTTTTTGTTGTAAAGAATTCAAAACAATGTGGCCACATTGCAAATTTCGAATTTACTCACCCCGGTGTGGTACACTTACCCACCATAACCCCTATGTTGTAAATTTTATGGAAATCGTTGGAGTCAGAAAGCGATTACAAATGTATGCTTCCACTTTTAACATTTTTTGAAATTTTGCGTTTGAAAACAACCATAACAAACCATTGTTACTCCTATTCTACCTAACTTTTTTCGAAAGTAAGGCAGCTAAAGTTAATTAATTAAGTGCATTGTCTAGAAACTATTATTATTATTATTATTAGTGTATTATCGCGTCGTTGGCTGATGTTTGAGAAATAATTTAAAGAAGAGTTTGTTTTCGCTCGGTTGCTTCAGCACACAAACTAACTGAACCCCAATCGAAAGTAGCACAGGAAAATTATTGAGCATATGTTAGAGTTTACGTAATAGTTTTGTAACTAACTCCGTTAGGCCAGATACTTCAAAACCACTCGACTAAACGTACATACGTATATGTACTACTACGTATTATTAGTGGATATTATTATTATTATTGTTATTGCTGTTTCAACAAGAATGTCCGTCGCACGGTGATGCTTCACTAGTGAACTTGAAACTTGCTAATGTGAAATTAAAAGCGTCGTGTCGCAAACTGTAAAATTAAAATAAAAACTGCTCGAAACTTCTACAGTTATTTTATCTAATCGATATGTCTAATAAAAATGATTTTAAAAGGAACTTGCTATGATGAAGTAGATATGGGGAGGATTTAATAAAGGGAATTAAATTTCGGGAATTTTACTTAAAAATAATTCATAAATAATTTCAATTAGTGGTTAATAATCAAATCGTATTAAAATCTGGGCAATTTTTCAAGCATATACCTAAGCAAATTTTTATTCGATATCTAATTTAAAATAATGCGATTTTTTTAGAATTATTATCAATATATATAATATAGTAATATGTAATATCTGTTTTCTTGTACTTTATGCCGGGTTTGTGTGGATTTAATCTATTTACCCCAGTAATTATTAGTTATGTTTATTAATTACTGGGCACTCGGTATTAAACAAAGAAGTATTAATTAATTATAAATATAAACAAACTTCGCTTTAATTAGTACTTTAGTTCGGATGAATATTTGCTTGTAGAAAAATTAATCCATTAAAAAATATAATAGAATTAAATTTGAAGTGAAATAATAATAAAGTTTTACATATCCTTTTTGCAATTACAAAACATTAGACTAGGTTCAAATTTTTTTTGGAGTTTTTTTATTAATTATTTTCATCACATTAAACAATTATAACTGTGAAACTACAGCAGACGTTTGCAGTTATGAGAAAACCTACCTTGAAAAAGTCTCAAAACTCAGATAAACTTTGGGCTCGATTGTTGTCATTTGTTAATCAATTAAAATTCGAATTATTTCAATAAATGTTACAAAACTTCTTGAATAATTCGGGAAATTTTCCAATAGGTAATTCGTTACATTCTTATTAAAAAAAAAATTAATTCAGTTTTGTGCAATCTCCTTATCATGTACAATTTAAGTGAAGACGTATTTTATTTTCCTTTTTAATTGATTTTATACTTTTTTCCATTTGTTGATGCTGAACTTTTATGGGCATTAAAAATTAAAAAGCATTTGACCTCTGTAAGTGTTTTTTCTTTTTAGTTCTCAACAAAATTCTTTGTGCGCCCCTGATGTTTAGATGTTAAGGACCTTTTTAGTTGTTTGGATGAGAATTTGGAAGGAACCAGTTCCAAAAGCTGTCCGAGAATAAAATAATTGGGATTTTTAATCATAAAACTCGTTTTGCTTTACGTCTCTTGTAAATCATTCAAGTTTTATTAGATAAAAAATGCTGTTAAAAAAAGAAACTAAAATAACTAATCCTTTATTTTGTTTCATTTTTTTTTCTAGTATAACTGATTATAATAATGAATTGATTATTTTTAATACTATTTGCAAGCTTTGTAATAATTACTTTCATTTTCATTGGATTTATATTTTTCCTGAATAAGGAAAAGTTTGATTAACTTTATCAAAAAGCATTAAGAACAATAAGTTTCAAATGAGTCTTACCACAAACAAAAATGCACCCTATAAGCTTTTCAACCCCTCGTCACCCCCACAAGAGATGAATTTTGAGGCCTGGACATTGATATGTGAGGGAGTCAGGGAGCCAGGCCAGGACTGACTTTTCTTTTTATATATGTATTAATAAATGTTTCTGAAGAATTCTTTAGATTATGTAATGTAAATTGCATTGAAGGCAACTAGAACAACTTGGCGTTAAAAAAATTAAATCATACGTATAATATAAGTAATGTTATGGTATACTTATATGTTGCACATGTTCTTTGCCTTTAGAAAGTACCTTTTCGCTTTAATTTCGATCGATAGTGAAATATTTTTGAAATTTAATTAAGTAGGAACCAGCAGATAATTCAATTCTTATCTTACATTTTTATTTATTAATTTCCTATCAAATTTTTTACACAAACTTAAAATATTTAGGTACTTACAGTATTATTCATTTTTGACACCATATTAATTTGTAAGTTGCAGCGACGTTTCGTGTCAGCTATTGAGGTATTTTTCTTCAGGTCACAATTCCACACGTTATAGGAAGTTCCTTATTATCAGTAGAGTTTCATTTATGCTTCATATTTAATTGATCAAAAACATTGCTGCATGTCAGTTCCTGACAAAAAACTGTGTAATATTAGACGTTATTTTTCCTCTTCAGTAGATTGATTGATTGATCGATCGGGCAAATGTGTTTGACGCGAACAAATCACACAGTATTATTTAATATGTAGTAATAAATTATGGTTCGTATATTATACAAACTGGCGCCTAATGTTTAAAATCTTAACGAAACGCAGCCGGTTTTAACACTTTTCCTTTCACGGAGAATAAGAAAATAGGGCCGTGCACCAGTTGGTATGAAACGAAAGTATTACGTTTGGGTTATAAAGGTAATGGATAGTTAGTTGTGTATTTTGCGAAAGAGTTTGACCAACTGAAGTCGACCGCAGTGAGATAACGTCTTATAAAAGTTTTCGGAACATTTTTATGAATCCGGACGGTCTCATACAGCGTGTTCAAAATCCCATCCCCCCTTTACCGGTGCGCAAAAGTCGCTTAGTCTAAGGCAAGTTGAGAGACCTTAGACGTAGATGGGATTTACCTGTTGAACATTGCAGCTTTTTAATTCTCTTTCGTAACTTGCATGAGGTGAAGATTAATTATTTAATTATTTATTGCCAGAGTCGGTTTTGCTTTTTCTCATCTTTTTTTTTGTTACTTTTTGTTTCTTCGCTTAAACGAAACGTTTCCCAATCGTGTAGTTATTTGTGTTAGGTTGAAAGCAAAAAATAAAAGGAAATACGTGTTTCCAGTGTGTGAATTTTCGTGTTTCGTATTTCGACACTTGAAGTTATACATGGCGTTTCATTAAAAGTGTTAACTAAAATCAAAGTGGAAAAACTGCTTGCTAGGTATTTCGCATAAGGGGTAATTAATAATACTTATCTAATTAAGTTTCTGTGTTTAGCAGGCATTAAAACGAAATGAAATTTATTTTAACACAGAATGATTGATATTTTGACTTTTACTTTTTGTATAGTAGTATTTTTGAGATTATAAATAATTATGCATCAACGTGAAGTAATTAGTTGCATGAAGAAATAATTTGAATTTTAATTTACAAAAACTGTGAAAATTTATTTTTGTTGCAAGTAATTTTTTTAAATTTTAAAATAGTTTCGTGTAAAAAATAAGTTTTTTGAAAGGTTATAGAAACATATTTTTAACAGAAATAGATCTTTTTCTTTCAATTTAAATGTTAGTTTTATAATGTGCCGAAATTTATTTTTAAAATATTTAGGTTAACAATTTATATTGTTTTCTAAATTAATAGAGTTTTGCTTATAGTATTTCATTAGTAATTAAATTAAGTCCTTAAGAACCTATGTTTATTTTAGTATTAAATGTTACGCTGTTACGATCTTTTGTTTCTAAATAAGGATAAATGTGCTAAAAATTATTGTTATTGTGTTATCCTGATTAGATATAAATATACATTTACATACAGTCATGTCTATAAGAAACGTTTTATGAAGATGTTTTTAATAAACCAATTACTTTTATTACTATCAACTGTTTTTCTTCATTAATATAACATACTGTACCAATTACTTTATTTCCTTCTGTTTACTTGAATTATGGGTAATATATTACAAATAGTTAATTTGACTGTTATAATGCTAATATTGAACGCAAAAACCTTTTACTTTATCTTTCTCTATAAGAAACTGGAGAATACACTTGGAGACTTCAATGATGGTATAGAATACAAACCCGAAATAAAAGGAGTGTATACATTCAAAAGTACGGTAAAAATCGTAGTGAAAATGAAAGTTTCCATTACGACAACTGTCGACTTATTAGAAGACACTTAAAAGTAAAAATATTGAGAACTACGACTATATTTTCATTTAGTTTGTCTAAACTGAATGTATCTTATGTGCCTTTTAGTGGAAAGTCTATTCATGTAGATACCAGTTTATATCGAACTCATTTGCAATATATGTACCTATATATATATCGTATTATTAAAACCACTTAAACTGATTTCCAATTAAAAGAAAATATAGTTACAAAAAGATAAACAACAAGAAAAAAATCTTCTGTAATTTATACCTTTTTAATTAGGTCATTTCAGGATGTAATTGATTATTACCTACGGAGAAGAACAGAAAGTTTTATAAAAATTTGATAAATAGTTTTTTTATTTAATTATTGTTAATTGCAGATTTAATTCGAACAACGTTTCTCTATATAAGATAATCACTGACAGTAGCTNATAATTATTAATTTCTTGTGGATGTAATGTGTAGTGCCATTTCAGGCAAATATGCTTGATATTTTAATGAGGAAAATATTTTTAAAAGGGATATATAAATGGTAAATTTTAAAAAATTAGAATATATCTTACCTCTTTTTAAGGATTGTTAATAAATTACGTAAAGAAAATGGGTGAGGGAGGTACTGTGTGGCATTATGGTCCTACTACACAGGGAAAGGTAGAGTCAAAATCTGCTTTTCGTAAGGACATTAGAACCAAAAAACCGGCAATATGGGGTCATTCATAAAATACGTTAGCAAATAAGGGAAAGGGAAGGTTATTGCTTAGCCTGACGAGATGTGACAGATGGGGAGGAGGAGTCTATGGAAATCTTACGTTCGTAGTTCATCAATTACACCCCTGTAGACCGTCCATAATTTCAATTCATATTTATTGCTATAACAGTCAACTTTAGGCCCCGGCGTCTCTCTTTCTTTCCCAGGATAAAACACTTTTGGAACTATATCTGACCTAATAAAATAATTCGAAGTGGTCTGTATTCTGTCGAAACTACCAGACGCGGATCGCGATTTCGATCTTTTTGGATCTCATCAGCGCGACGCAGACAGCTCCGACAGAACACAGAACAACTTTTACCTGCTGTCTTAACAGTTCGTTTTATAAAATACTACAAATGGCGCGGTAAACGCCATCTGTAGCACGATGCTACATTTTAGAATTACGTATGCTCCAACAAAGTCCACTTGTGTGGATATCGACTTGCTGATAACGAATCTCGGCGTAACCAACCTCAACGTGATAGGCACGTTAGCTTAATCGAATAAAATAATTCGAAGTGGTCTGTATTCTGTCAAAACTGCCAGACGCGGATCGCGATTTCGATCATTTTGGATCTCATCAGCGCGTCGCAGACAACTCCACACAAGTGGACCTTGTTGGAGCATACGTAATCCTAAAATGTAGCATCGTGGTACAGATGGCGTTTACTGCGCCATTTGTAGTATTTTATAACTGACCTCTTTATCTATTGTTTACCCTCCTTCTCTTCTATGTTAACAACCTTTACAAACCTATTAGTCGATTCAAAAAAGACACAGTTCAATAGAAATTAGAAAAGGTGGCAGCTCTATGTCCTAAATATCGATCTACAGACTAGTCAATTTATCACTATTCACATAAAAGGAAGTGACTTCTATGGTCGCGAACGGTTAATTTAGAAATTCGTAAAAGGTTGTTAAAGGTGTATGTTTGGACCGCGGCGCTATACGGGTGCAAAACATAGACAGGGGGCGCGGCGGAAAAGAAAAGGTTACAATCAGGATGCCGTGTATAGAGAAGGTTCGAAATAAAGAGGTAGTAGAAAGAATAGGAGAACCGAGGACTCTATGGAAGTTAATCAAAAATAGGAGAGATAGGTTAGTAGGACACCTTCTCAAGCATGAGGGTTTAGTCAGAGACATATTAGAGGCAAGAACAGGAGTTAATTAAATAAATAAGTAAATTATTATTTAGGAGTTAAGAGTTAATCACGAAATTATTATTTTTTTTAGACTGCAACCAATTCAGTAAGTACTTAGCAGTCCAAACAGCTCAATACCTTTAATTAATATTTGGTGCTATCACCTCATATATCTTTTAGTAGTAAAAATTGTTTTAATATTGGTAAGCAAAGTAAGAAAATAAAAGAAACTGATAAAAGAAAATTAGGAACTGAATATCACATTTAAATTTTGACTCGTTTTGTATTCTGTTTGAAATGAAAAACATCAGCGATCATTAACTGTACTTCCTTTGAATTGTAAACAAAGGCAGTTCTTCTTATTTATATTCAAGTAGCGATTTAAAATCAACGTACACAACCAATTAAATCATAAGAACGTATTGCAACTGAAACATATTTCTGAGTGAACTATTTTTTTTAACTACACAAAATGTGTATTTTGCCTACAATAAATTGTGCATTTGAAGAAATATTTTTGCATAATAACTACATATAACCTACTCGAACAGCGTAACCAAATTAGTCGTGATATGAATAAATTAAATTATGATCTTTCTTTTGATGTCCCCATCACAAGAAAGAATTAAAATGAAATTGTTTGCTCAGGTAAATTATATTCTAAAGCAGTAATTATGCAATAAACAATTAACCGATGTAGTTTTCCTATTTATTGCATTATTAAGAAACAACTCGTTTATTAATTCAATAACGAATAACGCAAATAAATCATAACTCAACAGTTTTAATTCAATGAGACGTCGGTTCACGGGAATTTTTTGCAAAATTTTACTACTAATACGCGGATTTTACGCGCGTTTATTTGACAAATAATTTAGTCATAAACCGTGCGGATCTTTATCGAAAGTAATAAAGTTTTTTTGTTATTTTAAAGCACTACCCACATACAAAAATATTAATGGGATGAATGTGCCTAAGGGGTCGTTCATAAATTACGTAATCAGAACCAAGGGGGGGGAGGGAGTTCATTCAAATCTCATGAACTCTTACGTAGGAAGAAGGGAGAAACATATACACTAGGACCGGGGCAAGTTAAATTTCAAATCAATCAATTTTATTCAATTTAATCTACTTACATATCCACTTCAAAAATTAAATTTATGATGTATCTATACGTATTAGAACATTAAAATGGACAATATATAAAGTTATTAATAATACTTTGTTATACAAAAGCAACTTAATATATTGTGGATTAAGGATGATTGGGAGGTATGTCAAAATGCTACGAGACTAATAAAAATTTGGAAGAACGTTCCTCATTCAATTCTAAAACTCCTGTAAAAATTACAAAGTTTGTAAGTACAGTAGAATCCGCTTATACTGACATCGAAGGGAAATGACAAACACGTCATACAGAGCATAGTCTTAGAAAACAAAAAAATACATTCTATTTTGGTTAGTTATTTAGTTTAATAGAGAGAAAAACTACAAATTTTATATATTTATTAACAGAAAAAGAAAAAGAACGATGAATCGTAATATAAATATACATAAGAAGGGTCAGAAAAATGACCGAGTGTTATTATTAATCATTTGGGTCACTATAGCCGTGTATGATTTCGTAAGAATCAGTCATAATAAACGATATGTCATATTAAACGGTGTCATTATATCCAAACTTTCTTATAGAGAATTTAATATTAAAACCAAACTT